ATTGTAAACAGCGCTCTATAAGAAATAAATTATTATTATGATATTACTGAGCAGATGGATACAGTAACTGCAACTGTGCAGTGAAGTTATTGCATGCATAGTGACTAATTTTCGGGGTATTTTCTGTGCAGGGGACATGGTTTCATTGCTGCATGATGTTAGTGCATGGCCCAGTATTACATCCCCAGCATCACCCTGTAGGTTGATATCATCTTTATCTACTGTAATGTGGATAAGAAATTAGAAATATTTATTTTTATTGATGTTAATATAGATGATTGACCATTAGACAGTGAAAGGTCATTTTACATTTGTGCACTTAGTAGCCAAGCCTTTGATTTGGAGTGAGTCTGCAGGCGACCTTGTTGTAATAGAGACCAGCATCAAGTTAGCATGATAACAAAGTAATTTACAATTGAAAAGGAGCAAGGTTTGTACCATAACAAGGTGACCCGTAGCCTCTCTTCTGTTCAAAAGCTTGGCAACTTAGCAAGCAACTGTAAAATGAACTATTGCTACAAGTTTCAGGAGCCTGCACCATCAGTGGGGATTGTTATAAGTGCTGGTTCACATTGCAACTTTGTTAATGCTGGCATCCTTGAGTTCTAGGGTAGTTTTGTATCACCTGTTCTTCAACTCTCTTGAAGGCTTTCGTAGCACTTAGTTTTCAAGCATTCCTTCACCCAACCCTTCCCCCCTTTTTTTGACCTTCCGCCAACTGAGCTAGTGTTAGCTGGTGTCTGGTATGGGGACTCATTGTTGGGTTGTGGGAATTCACCAGGTAAAGGGGTAGTATTTGATGCAGGGTCCTGTAAGCTACAGAATACCTATAGGCACCTACCCTCTACACAAGACAGGCAACGGTTGAGTGACAAACAAAATAGCCCATTTCCGAATTACCCTTGGCCTCTTTTTCAAAACGAGGCCTGGTGCTCAACCATTCTTGTGAAAATGAGTTTAATTTGCATGTGAATGAAAACTTATTATCATATGAAAGGATGAGCACCAGGACTTGTTTTGAAAATGAGGCCAAGGGTAATTCGGAAATAGGCTATTGCATATACTATGAAGAATTTAGTCTAAGAGTGGTGTCTATTACATGACCTAAAAATAGTTTTGCACTGGCTTATATATAACTTCACTTCATTTTATACGGGGCGTTTGTTACTACAGTAATGACACCACCAGACAACTGGCTGTGCTGAATTACAATCACATGTATTTTAAGGATTGAATGGAATAGAATCATTTGTTTTCTTTTTGAAGCATTTCCTCAAGCGAGTGAAGTAATCTTTTCTCAGATTTCCTTCATCCCAGCCTGAATGGTGAATGTGATGCAGGTGGTTATAGAAGTGAGGAGGACAGTCGGTACCCCCCACAGATGGCCCTCACACCCATCCCAGCCTCACCCGTACCCCCTGAGGAGGGTAACCACGGCAATCCAACAAGACCCCCCATCTTGCCAAGATTTAGTTTTGAGGTATGAATGAATAGTCCATTTTACAGTTGTGTGCTTGGTTGCCAAGCCTTTGAATGGGAGTGAGGCTAGAGATGACCTTGTTATGATACAAACCTTGCTGCCTTTCAAATGTAAATCGCTTTGTTATCATGCTAAGTAGATACAGGTCTCCATCTCAACAAGGTCACCTTCAGCCTCACTCTGAATCAAAGGCTTGGCAACTATGTACACAACAGTAAAATGGCCTATTGTGTGATTTGCCCTCCGAAATGTACGTGACCCGTGATTTTTATTCTTTCGGTCCGTGAACACCCCAAGATTACCCTGAAACCTTAATTACGAGAGGATGGATTTGAAGTTTTCCATTTTGTATATGTAACGCGTACATTGAGCCGGGATCAAAATCCCCCTTTTTACGAGGGGTTCCAAAGCATTTTCTTGTTTTACTTTGAATGTCTCGAAGATGAACGTCACGAATTCTCTTTGACAACAACTGGATGTTTTGTGTGTCTTTTTTTTTTTTTTAGGACCAAGTTCCCATTGTGCGGCCTTCAGGCGCCCCAGTTCCTGCCCTTGCACCTATCAAATCAAAGACAATGCCCGAGAGGTTACGACTGGACAATTACAAGTCCACCCCCCTGAAACCAGTGGAAATGAAGCCACCCTCCCCATCCACAGAAGCACTTTTGGCTCCGCTCAAGATAGCTAAAGCAAAACAAAACCCCGTACCTATGAATACAAAAACGCAGCTTTCGAGTCCCACTACAAGTAGTCCAGGAGAAGCGGGAACTCCAGATTGTAATGACATGCACTGGGCGCGTAAAGGAAAATTAAAGGCAGACACGCTCACACTTACGACTGTCAGGTTTGTTTCCAGCTAAATTCTCTAGTTGCATTTTTCCCTCGTTCCGCTCCAGAAGTGATTCTCTTTACGCAATAGTCCATTTTACAGTTGTGTGCTTGGTTGCCAAGCCTTTGAACGGGAGTGAGGCTAGAGATGACCTTGTTATGATACAAACCTTGCTGCCTTCCAAATGTAAATCACTTTGTTATCATGCTAACTAGAGACAGGTCTCTATCACAACAAGGTCATCTTTAGCCTCACTCTGAATCAAAGGCTTGGCAACTAAGTACACAACTGTAAAATAGCCTATTGACACCAGTTGCATTTTTTGACGCGTCCAGCACCAGTAGGTCAATTTTTCTTGCGCTTCGCACCAATTGAATTTGTTCGCGCCTCCGGCACCAGTCTTCGCTCGGCACTAGTTGCATTTTTCCTGCGTACGAAGGTAGTTGTCACGTTTTTTCTTTGCAGTTGGTATTATTTACATTTTTTTCACGTTTGACACGAGTAATATTTTTGTTGTGTTTTGTTTTGTTTGTTTGTTTGTCTGTTTGTTTGTTTGTTTTTTTGTGCGTGTGTGTATGTGTTTGGCAACAGTTGCTTTTTCAAGAAGTGGACCTATTCAGTTGTCCCACTTGGTGATTTTATTATCCAACTGTGCTTCGTAGAGTACAGATAACGCCAAAACCGTCGAGTACAAATATCTCGCGGTATTTGAACTCCAGAGAACCGGTTAGACAGGTTTTCTCGCATCGCACAAGCAACGAATTGGATTGAAGTTACGAAAAAAAAAATGGCGAGCAATTTTAATTATTTTTCTGACGACGAAGAGTCGGAATGGCTGGTGATTATTGATCCAAGTTTATTAGATAAATCGAACGAATCAAAGCAGTTAGAGCTGGTTATCCCGCGCCAATTCCGTTGCGCTTTGCATACGTAAATAAATATCCGCGAAATTCGCGGATAACAAATCAAACAATTTGACGTGTTGGATGACAAATCTCTTTTAAATTGTTTTGTTGTGTGGTTGTGCCGTATTTTGACGAGCCCGTGGGGCTCGTCAAAATACGGCACAACTCGTAAAAATACACAGCGATACTACACAACAAAACCTCTACTAAGATACATGCATTTGTTTCCCTCTTTTAGTGATAATTTGGAGTCAGATCTATTCCGTAAGTTAAAAGACAAGCGTCCTTCCGCAACCGGTACAGCTGGCCAGATGCTGCCAACAATCTCAGATAAACCGAGTCACGTGACCCAAGTTCAAGGATCTAGGCAGGATCAGTTAGGTAGGTAGACTCTCGTGGGCGTCTAAAAAGATCCCACGGGCTTGTTAGGGAATCGAAAATGGATTCATTTCCAGGAGTTCTGCTTTGTATGAAAAGCATTACCGTTTAGTGTCTTGACCCAGATTTTATCGTTTGTTTTCTTAAGGGTATGATTTTTTTTTTTTTTTTTGCAACCCAGATATTAACCGATAGAATTTTGCAGGCTTAGAACTTTCTTAAATTGCAAGTAACGATGTTAGTTGCATTTTAAGAAGCGGATCATTTTGTCTTTCAGAAGCAAAAAAGAAACATAGGAGAAGAACTTCGAAAAACCATAGTATTCCAGAAGACTTAGGTAAGGTCCACCGAAGTTTTGCAGATCAGATAACTACCTCGCTAACTGGTACACTCCACATTTCTCTCTTACTTAGAGGCGTTTTCTTCGCGTCTTTCTAGATTTAAGAGACGGATTTGTGGAAGAGAACGTCGAAGACGACACAAAGTCAAGCAGAAGTATAGGAAATTTGAAAGAAAAACCGAAGAAAAAGAAGAAAGTACGAAAAGTAATGAGCTGGAACTTTTAATAAGAGATGTCTGAGAAATGCCCAAAGACACTAAGTACCTCAGGGCCTCAAGGTACATCTACATGTAGAATTCGTAGAGACCGCGGATCGATTTCCCTGTTAGAGGGGCTTCAAACAGATGGAACTTCTTCTTCACGAAAACGAGGCGAACATGCTGGAGCCCCCTGACACACTTTCAGAGCCCCCACCCCCCATACCTCTTATTACTCTTATTACTCTTTGTTCCGACTCAAAGAACGAAGAGTAGAACAGAAGGGATTGCAATGGGCGAAAGTGTTAAACTTTTTTTTACGTGGGAAGCGTATTGCGGGAACGTCGATTCTGTCAGCCTTGACGTGCGATGCCGTAAATGGTTAGGACCGGCTCATGACTTCTCTATTTTTGCGCTCGTTTGTCAAAATTGAGCATTCGTGATCCACGCAGACCACGTGAGCTAAGAAGGTAACAATGCAGGAAAGACTTTGCGATTCGGGACTGCTCATTATTTATCGCCTGGGGGGGGAGGGGGGGGAGATTATGCAGAACAGCAATTTTTTTTTGTAACTACTCGACGACTGAGTTTCTTTAAATGAAGTTTTAGCTTTAAATAAATGTCTTTTACATTCTACTAATGCAATAGGGATAATTGAACCTTTCAGTAAAGCGCAGCCTGCGCAGACGAGCTCGTAAAGAAGGGAAGAGAGGAGAGGAGAGTAGTTGAATGGAATAAAAGACACGCATTTCAATTTCTGTAGCCCCCCTTAACGACAAATTCCCCCTCTGTACCCCCCAAAAAATCCTCTTACTCCCCTCTCCCCCCCTTCCCACCGTCAGGCGATAAATAGTGACTGGTTTCTTAGGGAGGTCATTTTTTTTTTTCGCGATGTACTTCTTCTTTGTAATATGGTGTACAACTAATTACAAAGGGCCTCCTTTTAGTTGACAGGTAAAACAAATTGACCCTGGCGGTGAACTGTTTTCTACGTGAGCAGCAAATCGTTTTCCTGTGATTTAAATTTTTTATGAATCTTTAAAGAAGTAAGAAAGGGGCGTGTATCCCGTAAGTTTACCGACTGCACCTAGAAGAGTATTAAAACTATTGCCGTCCATAGAAATTGATCATAATTGTTGTATAAATCTATAATATTTGTCAGATGTTTAAATTATTTCATATTTTATGAAAGAATGAACGCTTATCGACTCAAAAAAACATACGTTTTAGATACTGATCATGGTCGATTTCAATTTGTACAGGATAGAGCGAAGAATTATTATGAAGCGATGTAGATATATTTTAAGAGGATGGAAAGTCGAAAAAATCCTAGGAAAATTTGTTAAGGTAAATGTCGGGACCGTTGTCAGTATCTGAGCAAATAAGAATCCAAACCTTCCCCAATCGAACAGCAAGGGGAGGGGTGGTACTCAGTTGCTAAGATACCGACATCGATGCATATGTCGCCCGTGTCTTGTTCTCCAAAAAAAGAAAAAATGGACGAAAAATGTTTTTGGGCGAAAATATGTTGCCCAATGTTAACAGTGCTTTTCTTTTCATTTTGAAAAATTTGACCATACTCGTTAATTTAGATTTGGAAAAGAATTGAGGCCACGGTTCTTTTATAGTTCTTTGAGAGAAGGAACAATGACCTTCATTACGAGGCTAGTGTTGAAATATTTAGTACTTGAGCTAAGGACTTAAATTTATCTAATAATATAATTGAATTCTATAATTCAGATATACGATGTTTATTATGAAATCAGCCGACGATTACATTTATTTGTTAGACATTTATAACGATTAATTTATTTCTAGAGATATATTACAATGCACTACAAATCGTTCTATAATTTTATTTCATTTACATGATCATATAATTTGTAAGTGAGCTGTTAACCAAAGTCGTAAAGAAACATTTCAAAGTTTGTGACGCCCGTGTAGATTAATTATTTTTCACAGAACCATTGGGGGTTAGTTTCCTTCCAAGCTGTTCTTTGGCTTGTTACGTAACGCTCCTCGCTCGTAGCGAGAGATTTCCTAGAACAGCTACGAAGGAAAGGAATTAGAGACCAGTCATTTTTTTTTTATTATTTCATTTTTGGAAAGAAATGGGAATCTTGAAATATTTTGTAGACGATCGTTCTTTTCTCCGTTTTCTTCCATGCGAAAATTTTTGTTTTCCAGTTGCCTCTTTCTGCCGACCAGATTTTCATCTACCAATGATTTTTTCTCTTTAGCGAGCAATTTTTCATATTTTTAAATCTCACCCCCATGCAAAAAAAAAGATTACTCTATTGATTTAGAGCACCTTTGCTGCTGTTATCCCGGTGCGATCTCCGGAGCTCTTTTTCATTTCTTCATATATACGCGCAGGAATAATCCCCTGAACTTTCCGAAATGACGTCAATTTCTCCCTGGCTAATCGCACGCGCAACAGACGGCACTGCGCACTACAGATCAATAGAAATGCATTTTTACCGTTCAGTAAAGGGATTCATTAAAAAAGGTGCATCTGTCAAGGCGGAGTCCTCGAGTCTCTGACTGCTCTCGCAAGCTTTATCATCAGTGGAGTTTGGTGTGGAAGTGTGTTTATTGTCCAAATTTCTGTTAAAAAATAATTATCTGTAATCTTTTAATTTTTTAAAAATTCATATGGCGCTATTTCTATTGCTATCCAATAGAGCTTTACAATGATCATGATTTAAAAATATATTTCGTAGAAATATTTAAAGCATGAGTAAGATAAACTATAAATGAAATAATTTGGTATATCAACTAAGTTGAAATTGTAAACTGGCCACGGTAAAGAGTTAAAAAGCTGACGTTTCGAGCGTTAGCCCTTCGTCAGAGCGAATGAAATAACTAAACTGTTAAAATCAGAATAAAAACTAAGAATAACAAAACCATACAATAAAATAATTTGAATATACCAACAAAGTTGAAATGGTAAATTGGCCACCTTTACGATTATAAAAGCTGACGTTTCGAGCGTTAGCCCTTCGTCGGAGCGAAGGGCTAACGACTTGATCATTTCTGTGCTCGTCGTTTCCTACGTCCCTGTTAGAGCAAAAACTATTATTTCTAGCTCATTGTGTGAATCTTTTTATCTTTTAAAAATTTACAAATTGTTACTGAATCCTTTTTTAAAATTCTCTTTAAACTTTACCATGTCAGGCCTACTCCCTTACGACCCATTGACATTCATCTGTACCTAATGTGTAATTTTTTTAGCCATTAATTTTTTTCAGTTATTTCACAAACATGGTATACTGTACTTAGAATGCTGGAGTATTTTTGTCAAGACGTCGCTACTCATAATTATTTTAATGCATCCATTTTATGCCATTATAAAGGGAAACAATGCCTAAATTAAGGGGACTTAGAAATTTTTTGTATTATAAAAGGTTCAGCTAAGGTACGTTGACATTATTAGTAAAGACAATACAACTAGTTTGCATAATTTAAACCTTAGGTGGGAGCTAATTTTCCTTGAAAGCCCAGCAAAAGAATTGTAAGATAGGCAGGCATGTTCAGTTTAGGAAAAATGCATTGTTTTTCTCTTCCAGTTGCGTCAAGAATAAGCCTAAAGTTTTTAAGGACAATTTTCTACCTTAAATTATAATTAATGTTTACTTACAATATGGCACGACCGCAATCTCCAACTATATCAGTTTGACATTATCCACTCCAAGGTCGTCTATTCTTGTCATTGACAGAATATTTTTGCACATACACAGGAACCCTGCCATTGCTACACTTTCTGTTCTTTCTGAAAAGCTGTTAAACCGAGATCTCAAATTCACTGTCGTTTCTGTCGGGCTTTAGCCGACTTTCGGACAAAGTCGTCAGTCTTGTATACTCGAGTGCTGGAATGATCAATTGAAGACATGTACACGCAGCATCATGGTGGGACCAAGCAGTACTTTAATTGGTTCTTAATTTTTCCAATTTTATCTTGTTTGAGTTGAAAATTTTAACTTTAAAGCTGTAAGCAATCAGCATTTAGCTGGTATCTTTCAAAACACAGAGTTCTTGTGAGACGAGCGGAATCAGCATCCCCAAATATCAAGATGGCAGCGTAAAATGCAAATGTAATGATGAGCACACTGAGTCAGCTTGAGGGTAATGTTAGATTTGTCATGTTTTGGCTTAGACGATTTCGGTATTGAAACAGTGAAAGGCGATCATGAAGTATTTCAGCAATCATACAGGTATACTTAGAGGGAAAAAAGTAATCCAGAAGCTTGCAAATGACACTTGAACCAATGACCTCTACATATAGGATAACTCTCCCCCCCTATTGAATTCAGGAGGATCGCGGCAGTTCTCGAGGATCTCAAAAGAAAGTACCTAAAATAAGCCTCAAATCCACTCTCGAAACAATTTGAAAAAAACCACGACATTTAGTAATTCTTCAGTACTTTGTGCCTCATTCGGCAAGTTAAGATCTATCTTTTACTTGCAGCTTGTTTGACTGTTTGTTTGTTTTATTTTGGTACCATTTCACAGCTACAGAGCCAAAAAGCTGCGCCGAACTGCTTTGAGACGGTTGGAAATCGAGTGGCGGCGTATACACCATCAATCTAGATGGCGGCAGGTCAATCCAAGCGTTGTGTGATATGACTCTGGACGGTGGAGGGTAGACCGTTTTTCAGAGACGTTTGGACGGCTCAGTTGATTTTTTTCTTAGATGGCAATCTTACAAATACGGCTTTGGAGATCTTAGTGGCGAGTACTGGCTTATAAACGACAATCTCCAACGTTTGACAGCCACTGAAGATATCATGTTGAGAGGTGACTTGGAAGACTTTGATAGGAACGCCAAGTACGCTGATTATACGACTTTTTTCAAATTCAGAGACGCTGTTACAGCTTATAAGTGCGTCAACAATTTAGCTCCTGAATATCTATGTGCTAAGTTTAAAAAACGATCTTCTGTACATAATCGCATAACTCGTAATAATGAGTAGATTGACATTCCATTATTCAGATCAGCTACCGGTCAAAGGTCCTTTGCCTATAGAGCAGTATCTCTGTGGAACATGTTAGACGAAGACCTGAGAAACGTTACATCTGTAAAGGCCTTTAAGAAAGTCCTGAAACTTGCCATGAACGAATGATTGAGTGACAGTTAGAATTTAGGATTTAACAATAGCTTGTCAGATTTAGTTAGCAGTCATATTTGTAAATAGGTACTGAAAAACCTTTCTTTTTGGGAGTATTTATCATTAAAGTTTAAAGTTTAAGGTAGCAGACGAGACTGATAAGTACCGGCCTTGGATTAGAGGATACACTGGCACGGCTAGTGACTCTTTGGGATTCCATAGGTAAGAAAGGTATTCGTGTGGACTAATTGAGTACCATATAAAGATTTTTTGAATAGCTTGCCTTTAATTTTGGTGAAATTAAAAGAAAACGAAAACCCTCCTTTTTTAATGTTATATTTGAATAGTTTAATCCAGAACGTATCAGAATATGCTGAACTATTCTGGCTCGAATTTACATATTTGATGATCTAATGAGAGTTTCTTGATTAAACTCGTCTCCCAAATGGCTATCTTGCTGCGACACCCATAAGCGATACAATACAAAGATGCCAATCTGCAAGGATTGTATCTCGATGGCCCCCGTACCAGTTTCCGATTAGAACAACTAATGCAGCAATTTGTTTCTTAAAAAAAAGAAAAGAAAATCCATCTTCCAATTATGACTTTACGATAGATAGATACTTTATTATAAACACCTTGCAGCCATAGGCTGAATTACGGAATATTTACAAATACAGATGATAAAAAGGACGTATAAAATATTACAACTTCGTCGTTAAGAAAGAGCGAAAATTATCTACATCTTATAAATAAGGCTAAAAATAAAACTGTTCTTCAAGCGCTCGGTTTTGCATATGGGGAGAGTGAAATCACTTTTGCGCCTTAGCGCGTATCTACAACTCTTCCTTTGGGGGAGGAGGCTGTG